ATACCCACTTCCTCCACTTTCATCTTCAGGCTTGCTTTCTCATTCACTCCCAGGAGGACTTCATCATTCCTTCCTGTTTTTTGTTGTTGTTGTTGTTGTTTTAATCTTGCCCTCAACCGTGTAAATGATCCCTTCATAAATCTTTCTTCCACCCCCTTTTCTGAGTGGACCATCTATTTTGAAGAAGCAGGCTACTAATGTAGCCACCACTCTCCACAGAAGAGTCCCATCTCATCAGGTATCTTCTGAGGAGCAAGGCACAAGCCCCCACCACTCCACAATGGACACCTATCTTCTTTCTGTCTTTGGAAAATTCTTTTTAGCTAGAGCAAATCCTTCTCTCTGTTCAGGTTTTCTTCAGAAGCCCTTTTCTTCTCTGTCTGAACACTACACAATAGCCTCCTCATAGACTTGATTTTGAAAAGAAAATTAAGAAAGGAAATTGTCATGTAGTTCTCACATTACCACAAACCTCTCTGTGAGGTAAGAGGGCCTAGAAATTGTATTATTTAAGAAAAGGCAAAGAGAAAGAGGAGACAACTTCAATCATTGATTAAAAAAAATTACCTCTGTCACACTATCATCCATGCCAGCATTTCTCAACTGGGGGCAATTTTGCCTTCTAGGGGATATTTGGCAATGTCTGATGGTATATTTAGTTGTTACACAGGAAAAGTACTAATGCTGTCTCATGGATAGAAGCCAGGGATACTGCTAAATGTTTTACAATGAACAAGACAGCCCTTGTATCAAAGAACTAGTCAACTCAAAATGTTAATACTGCTGAGGTTGAGAAAGCTGAATTATGCTGACTTACTGGTTCTATGAAGAAGTGAGTGGCTATAGCTTTAGCTGACTGACTGCTACGCCTGCATCTATCAGCTGGGCCAAATCCAAATTCCAGGTTTCCCCTCACAAGTTTAGAGTGCGTCTCTAAACATACTTGCCAGATAGAATATGCCTCACTTTATTCTACAGATTTTCAGTTAAATGGAATGTCTCTGTGGTTCCTTTACCTACCCTACCAAATAGTTATATCTATGATTTCCTACTTCTCCTGTCTTAGACTGTTCTATTTCTGTTTGCTGAATTAGTAGCCTCTCCTCCCCATCCTCAGGTGTCCAAACCAGGTCAATACATCACCAGGTCAAAAATCTTTTCCCATCTTAAGCCCCCATTACTCCATACGTTTCTGTCTTAGTCATAGGAACAAGATCTCCCACATCAAAATCTAGAACTTTTCATCATGTTTATCTTTTCCTTAATCTTTACCAACATTTTATTTTTAATAGTGAAAAACTGAATGCAATCCAAATGAGAACACATAAGACAGTGATTGCATAAACTAAAGTACATCCAATGAATTTATCATGCAGTTAGCAAAATGGTAATTAATACTCTACTTTTTTAGCTTTTAGGTTCAGGGGTACACATGCAGGTTTCTTATGTAGGTAAACTTCATGTCACAAGGGTTTGGTGTACAAATAATTTTGTCACTTAGGAAATAAGCATAGCACTTGCTAGCTACTTTTTTCTGATCGCCTTACCCCTCCCATGCTCCACCCTGAAGAAGGTCCCAGTGTCTGTTGTTCCCCTCCTAGCATCCATGGTTCTCATTGTTCAGCTCCCAGTTATAAGTGAGAACATGTGGTATTTGATTTTCTGTTCCTGCATTAGTTTGCATAAAATAATGTCCTCCAGCTCCATCCATGTTGCTGCAAAGGACATAATCTTAATTTTCCTTTGGCTGCATGGTATTCCATGGTGCATATATATCACATTTTCTTTATCCAGTCTACCACTAATGGACATTTAGGTTGATTCGATTTCTTTTATATTAGGAATAGTGTTGTAATGAACATACGCATGCATGTTCCATTTTGTAGTGGGAGGATGAAGAGGATCAGGAATAATAACTAATGTGTAATAAACTAACATCTGGGTGATCAAATAATCTGTACAACTAACCTCCATGACAGTTTAACAAACCTGTATAACAAACCTGCACATGCACCCTTGAACTTGAAATAAAAATTTTTTTTAAAAAAGAAGGTAGCCTGAAAGAGAGTAGAGCTTTCTCCCTGGAATCGTGGATCTATTTTCAGGCATATACTTTATTTGCAGGTATATCATGAAGTATAAACTTATTAGTTAATTTTTTTAAAGTGACCATAAAAATGTTTCTTACAAAATCTAGACCTTTCTGTGGTGATTTTGAGCTGATGAGAAAATTGCCAGACAAATACTAATCAGCTTCCACTGCCCGTGATATCTAAGCACACCATGAGTACACACTGGGACCCTGGGCTCAAATGCCTCCACATCCTTTCTTTCCATTCTTTTATTTGAATTTTAGAGCATAAAACTTTACAAAATAAAGTGATCCCTCACTAAAGCCCAGCAATTGAGTGTACCTGTGGTAGGTTGTTCTCGCTGACTATTGTTTTTAAAAACCACAATAATCCTCTGGTTTTTCTTTCACTTGATCCTTCTATGGGTTTTGTATTGTAGGATAGCTGCATATTACATGAAATTTAATCAAGCAGCTACTTTTTTTGTGTGTAATTAAATGGAAATCTGGGCCTCTGCTTTGTCAGTAACCTTCGACTGACCCTGGATCTCTATAACCAGGTATATAAAAAATTAAAGATTTTATGTCAGAAGCTAATAAAAGTAGCTGTTCGTCTCCCAGTTCCATTCTTTGCTGCATGGTCATAGAGTTCTGGTTTCTTTCTCATTGAAAATTGAGTAAATGCCCTTCCAACTATTTGTGTCCTATTTCCATAAATTCAAAATTCAGTTTTGACTATATGGCAAACTTGCATGTGTTTTTCTGGGTGGTAAATAGACTATTCTTAGCTTGTCTAATCTATACTTTTTAACTTTAGTTGTAGATATTGGTAACTTTATTTTCAAAAGTACCTTCTCGAAGGTAAACACAGACTGTTGTTTTCAGAGTTAGTAGTAATGAAGTATCTAATATATTTCACAAGAAGTATTCCCTTAGATTTTTATAGGGTATCCCTCTGAGAATTCAACATATCTCCTGGAGTTCTTTGGTGTATTAGTCAGGGTTCTGCATTGACACAGAACCAATAAGACACACACAAACACACACACGAGTATAAAAAAGATTTATAAGGAATTGACTCACATGATTGTGGAGGCTGAGAAGTCTCATGCTCTGTTGTCTGCAAGTTGGAAGTCCAGGGAGCCAACAGTGTAGCTCCAGGTTAAGTGCAGGAGAACGATGTTCCAACTCAAAAGCAGGCAGAGAGAGTGAGTTCTCCCTTACCCCACATTTTGTTCTATTTGGGCCTCCAGTGGATTGGACAATGCCACTCACGTTACGGAAGATAATCTGCTTTACTTATTCTACCAATTCATGTGTTAATCTCATCCAGAAACAGCCTCACAGACACTCTCAGAATAATGTTTAACCAAATATCTGGGCATCCCATCTCCGAATCAATTTGACGCACAAAATTAACCATCAAAATTTGGTAGCTCTTGTCTGCAAAACTCAAGAAAATACAAGAGCTAGAGTCCTGTTGATCTAGTCAGATTTATCTTAAAGCAAAGCTAGAAACTGTGTGTTCCTTAAAAAGGAACATACTTTCTAATTTCATATCTTTCTAATTTCATACCCAGAACACCTCACAGTGCCTAAAAAATAGTAAAAAATGAGTAAATGTTGAATTCTTCACTCTGTGCTATGGGAAGTTCAAGTGAGTATTTGTTTATATAACTTTATGTTAACAAACTGAGAAAAATCTACATTACCTTCTCTTGGCCCTGCAGCTCTACAAAAACCAGCATCTACATCAAATGGGCAGAAATCCTATATAGAAGGAAACCTAGATACCAGCAATCTCTCCAATATTTATATTTTTTGTAGTACCCATTTAGATATGCCCAGAGCAGAATATGTTTCACATTGGGCCTTCAATAGATGTCTCTCTAAGCTAGACATGATCTGTTTCATTTCCCATTTTCCAATTTACTTGTTACTTGAATAGAAAGTCAGTATTACAGAATCATAGGGTTTCATTTTCTTATTCTTTTCCTTTGACATGAAAACTGATATCTCAGTAAGAGTGAATTCAAAAATGCAAAAAGACCACATTTCTATCCAGTTGTTTTCTAAGCTCTTACTGAGAAATAAAAGAAAAGACAAATGAACACAGAACTAATATCAGGGTTCAAGTTCACTTCTATGATGTAGAACTGATTTTCTGATAATCTCCAAAAAAAAAAAAAACCACATTTGCTGTATTAATACATAAATGCAGAAATGAGCCTTGGGTTTATCTTGGCTCCAGAGAGGCTCTGTTGGTATGTCAGAGCCAAGTGAGTTGTCTACAGAAAGCCTTCCATCAAACCTTCCTTGAGTATTAAGTCGAAGGAAGGAACCCCAAAGAACTGCAAAAGATAGATAAATAATATATAATATTATTAAGTGGCCCAAACTGGACAAGTTAAATCTTCCAAATGCTGCCCCCAGTAACTCTAAACTAGCTGTTGATTCCTTTACAGCCCAACTGGGAAGCCATGTGGTTAGTCTAGCCTACAAAAAGTTATATCATCCACTGCAGGGATCATATTAGCAACATATCTTTACTTGATATAAAAGTCATAACATTTATGGGCAGAAAATAATGCATCATCTATATGTTAAAAATATACAAATATTCAACTCATATACAAATATTCAACTCATAATTCTAGAAAGTGTCACCATTTGGGGTAAGATTTCTTTTAGCTACAAATGGAAGTTATGCCATATCTATGAAAGAATATTCTCTCTTCATATCCAGTTTTCAGAAATGATCCATTGAAGAACTGTGATTATTTCTCCAGTTCAGTTTTTCTGCTTGACCTCATATGGCTGTCAGGCTTACAACAGCTGACAAGACAATTAAGCAAAAGGCAGCCAAAAACAAAGAAAATAACAGGGAATTTTAAATGCCTGGACAAAAAAAGCAAACTTTCAGACTCACCATGCATTGTCAAGTTGTCCCAAATGCTTTCTCGTAGACTCAGCAAGATGTTGATTACCTGAGTACCAGTTCTATCATCCCCAATGGGAAGCTGCAATACCATAATGGTAACAGAGGAGCTATTGTCAGTGGGCTACTTTAATTTAATTGCTCAGTTAAAAATTATGAGAAAGAAAATATGACCATCATGAAGTGTTACATTAAATCCAAGGAAATTAGAATTCAGCATGATAAAAATAACAGACTACTGAGCCTAAAGAAATACCAAGTTGAAAAACTCCCACACTTCAGGGATCTCTTCTGTTCTCTTCTCTCTTCTTATTGGGATGATTTTATCCATTCTCAGGGCTGTATGAATCTACATGCAAAGGATTCTCAAATTTAAATTTCAAAGCTAATCTTCTTTTCTTGTACTCTAGACTTATTTTGCTTTCTTAGCATCTTTATTTGTATTCATAATAAGAATCTTAGACCTTATATGGTCAAAAGGACTTGATTCCTCAACATTTTCAATACTTTTTCTTACTAAATTTCTCCATTTCAGTCATTTTATATCCGCCTAGATGATTAAGTGAAAACTCAAGAGTCATTCTTGATTCCTCTCTTGTAATGAAATCAGTTATGGTTGGGCAAGGTGGCTCACGCCTGTAATACCAACACTTCGAGAGGCTGAGACAGAAGGATCACTTACCTGGGCCAGGAGTTTGAGACCAGCCTGGAAAACACAGGAGGAGCCAGTCTGTACAAAAAAAAATAAAATAAATTAGCCAGGCATGGTGGCACATGCCTGTAGTTTCAGCTACTCTGGAGGCTACAGCAGGGGGGTGGTCCTTGAGCCCAGAAGTTTGAGGCTACAATTAACTATGATTGCACCACTGCCCTCCAGCCTGGTCAACAAAATGAGATCCTGTCTCTGAAAAAAAAAAAAAAGAAAAGAAAAAAGAAATTCATCAGGAAATATTAAGAACTCTACCTCTAAACTAGATCTCAAAGCTCACATTGCATTTTTAATCATACGCTTTCCCCTGTTACCATCCTGGACTGCTGCCAACAGAATCTTTCTCCTAGACGTCTTCAATATCCTCTAATTGAAAGCCATTTCCTATCCCTGCCCTCTATAGCCTAGTACCCACATAAAAGTTATACTGATACTTTCCACCAGAAAGTAAGTTTCCCAGTCTTGTCCCCCAAAGGATAATTGTTCCAACTAGGAAATAACACTTTGTAATGTAGAAACCAACCTCCATTATTGACCTGTAAAAGTAAAACTCCTGAACTTAATGGTGTAGAATGGGAGAATGTGATTCACTTACAATAAAGGTAATATGGAAAGGCATGAGGTGCCTTTGTTTCTCTTCTTCCTCAATCATCAGAGGCTCTGCCTAAAATCAAGTTCTCCTTTTTCTGCATGTGGCTTCCTCTTTTCAATAACTCTCATTATGTCATTTTCTCTTGGTCCACTAGCTGCTAATTATTACTTGTGGAAGTCACCCCAAGCTGTTGAAGCGGATCTGAATGGGCCCATAGTGCAGCCAGTTTGGAGATCTCCTGTGCTCATTCATTTGAGCCAGGTCTGTTTCTACTGCTCTCTGCTTCCCTCAACCTCTCCTTTACCTCCAGTTCTCATTTTCTGAAGAATATAACCTGTATAAATATGACATGGATTCCACAAAGAGTAGTTTTAGGATAGAATCCCAAGCAGCAGTATTTAAAAGAGTCAAAGAAAATGTATGCCAGTGATTTAAGTCTTATTAAGTGTGGTTTCCACATGGCCAGGTGGAAGAACACTGAAAACACATAAGTGAATACAGAGAAAGTCTCTAGTTCACGGTTCTCACATTTTAGTAAACTTCAGAATCACCTTACTAAGACACACATTGCTGGACCACACCCCCAGGGCTTTTAATTCAGTAGTTCTAGAGTAGTCAGAAGTTTTGCCTTTCTAACAAGTTCCTAGGTTGTGCTGCTGATTCTCAGAAATCTCACTTTGAGAACTCCAGTTCTACGCTCCACACTGAAAAGTGGTTGCAAGTGAAAGGAATTCTGTTGTCTTTACCTGAACTTGTTCTTTCCCATCAGAGACTTCCTATAGAGAGTTTAATCTGTGTCACACTTGTAGCCCCTCTGGACCACAGGAAATGGATGGTCAACAGAAGCAACTCTGGACTCTGAAAGGAGAGAAGTTAAAAGATGAGGAACACTGCAAACAGGAAAACCTGTATGCCTGCCCCTGGGAGTAGTATATCAGATTCATAGGATAACCTGCTTTAGTAAATTTGGCAGTTATTCTTGGTCTTTATATCCAAGAATCCTCAGTCAACTAATATGGGATGGGTCTGTGTATCAGTATTTTATAAATCTCACAGGTATTTTTAATACATCCATGACTGAGAACCACTATAGTCTACTGAGGTTTGATCTCTTATCTCTGCTAGACTTCTTTCTTTTTGGCCACATTAGTTTATCAAGTTAGTTATATGCATGCCACCTGAAATGTATAGAAGTCTCAATCTAAGAAAGTGACTTTCAACCAGCTATGATTTTTGTCCCCAAGAGGATATTTGGCAATGTCTATATATATTTTTAATAATCACAACTTGGAAGTTCTACTGAAATCTAGTGGGTGGAGACCAAAGAATGCTGCTGAACTCCATACAATGCATAAGAGAGTTCCCTGCAACAAAGAATTATCCAATCTGAACTATCCATAGTGCTAAAGTGGAAAAACCCTAGCTAAGCATGGGGCATGTGATTCCCCTGTTTCACCAAGAAGGGTTTGTTCTTAACAATATGCGTTTGCTTCAGCAAATTCTGATGGAAACAGTCCTGGATCTTTTGATTTTTGGTCATGAGAGAGGGATGAGAAGACACTGAGACCAATCCAAAGAAAGTTTGATAAATTAAAGCAAACAAATTAAAAAATATTACTCTTCTCATGATTAAGCCTATAATCAAGACCTGAGTGTGGAACATCAGTAATATTTTTAAATGTTTCACTTAGTCCTGGTTTTCTGCAATTTTTAAACCTCATTTAAAAATTCTATTTGATAAAATAACTGTAGCGTTTAATGGGAAGGCATTGTTAGTTATAAAACCATGTAGTATACTCTCTCGGGAGACTGGAAAAGCTTGACATAGTTTTAAAAGGTCAAAATGGTTTACAATGTATTTATGGCACACTGTTTGGGATTAAGAGTGTCATTTCTCAGTCATTTGGTTAAGCTGATATGTAAAGACCTAATATGAAAAGCAGAAACCTTATTTGGGTTTTACTTTATTGATGTCATTGATTCTTCCATCACTGTTTCTCGTCAAGCTGTTCCCGCTAATTATCGCTGGCGCAAAACCACATTCTACATTTTCTCTCAAGATTGGAATGTTTTTTCTCAAGTAAATAAAGAAAAAAGGATCTATCCAAAGTAATAATGCATTTTATTACCTTTGTGTTTGTTTTTTTAATTACCATTGACACTGGAAGCATTTTGTTATTCCTATTGTTTTTATATAATAAAATTAAATTACATGAGAAAATAAAGCCAAGATACGTAATTCATTAAATGTAGGAGCTGATTTCAAATGAACAACAAGGAAACAATTGACATCATTTTCACCAAATTAGGCTGGGAAGAAAATGCTTTCCATGCAAATAATATTGAATGTAATGAATATGAGAATGTGGAGCAGTAGATTCCCTGCATAAGCATACTTTCTGTTGTTTACTTGAAAAGAATGAGTCATGACAATATGGTTGTAAAATAAGCAGACATTTCGAAAAAGCAAATAGTTGGGGAACTGATAGGAGAGAAGAAACCAAGAACTAATATTTACTGAGTAGCTTCTAAGAACCCAGAAAAATGCAAAGTAAACTTGACATAGGAAATCTAATTTACAGCAAAACAATGGCTGGATACTGTCAACAAGACAGCAAACAGATTTAAAATATATCAATTAGAAACTTCCAAGTATGCCTTGGCCCTAATAAGTCATTGACAAGGCAACATATCTGATTTTTCCAAGATCTTTATAGTTCACAAATTCTAAAACCCACCCAATCTCCTCTCCTAATTACCCCATGAGCTGAGCAAGAAAGACACTATTATTCTAATTCTAGGGATGAGAAGCTTGGGACTCAGTATTGAGCAACTATCTCAGGATCAACCAGCTAGTAAGTTGCAGAATCTGGAGACAGAAAGTATCTTCCTTCTGCCACACCATGTTGCCTTTGCAGATACTGTTATGGCCTGAATTAATATTGCTATATTTTGCTCTTTTTCTACATTTTGCTATGGAAAGAGTTCTAGAACGATTATGTAAATCTACCTCTCAATAACTCTTTCTGGGCTAGAACTAGAAAATAAGTAGCTATTAAATATGCTTCCTACTGAAATAATTTGGCAGAGATGAATCATATTTATTTATGCTGGAGTTTGACTTGACATGGATTTACCTGAGTGATAGAAGATTTGGCCCCATCTCCTGCATGCATTTCCTCCCATTTCTCTATTATCATTTCTCTCTTTTCAGGCTCAGGCTCCTGCTTTTTTCCTCTTGTTCCATTCTCCTCCTCTACCCTATTTTTCTTTTCTCAGTATTATGTAGTAAGGATGAAAGTGTGAATTGGTATAATATTTTTATTTGGAGAAGTAGACATTTACTAGCATGTGTCAAGAGTTTTAAAATGGTCATATTCTTAGATGCAGAAATCCACTTCATATAATGTATCCTAAGGGAGTGATTATAACTGGATGTAAAAACAAGACTCTCGTGTCAGTTTTCATGGAAGCCCGAAGGCAGCAGGTGCCAACCATTCCCTCATTACGCAGAGAGGGGCTGGGCCACCCAAGTGGGACTGACAAAAGGGATCTGGGAAAATTGCTTTTATAACCCTTACCTATAAAATAGGAAGGCTGTGAGCAGAAATGAAGCTTGACAAAAGCATTGATCTAAAGCATGTTTTCAATGGCTGTGGCCTTCTGCCTCCCTGATGCCATGGTGGAGGAGAGGGTGGGCATCAAAGCATCCATGTGGTAAGCTTGAGGATGGGAACTCAGGCAAAGCATACTGTTTTCTTACTCAGCCTACGATAATATGACTAGAGAGAGGAATAGAGTAAAATCCAACCAGCTCCCTTTTCTTGCCATTTGCCTGAAAGCAGCTGCAAACTAATGCACAATTTCTAATTATTAGACTATAATCGACACATTTATTAATTTATAATAATTGGTATCTCATTTGTCAGATACAATAAATGGCTGGGGGCTTTCTGTTATCCAAGAGTGAGGGAATTATCTATCTATTTAAGCTGCCCTGGATTTCAACTGGTAATAATTTAAATTTTCTTCACAAGTCTCTCCTGTGTTTTTTACATTTTCTATATAAATGCTTGCTTTATAAATGGAAGAAATAGAAATAAATTAAGAAAATAATCACCATCTCAAGTGAGAAAATAACAAACTGGAGAAAAGGATTTAGTTATGTGTTCCACAATTTTTTCTTTTGAAGACCGTTTTATTAGCTTGATTGCTTATATAAATATATAAAGCATACACTCATCAAATTTGCTAATTACACACAGCAGAAGGGATTGTGAAGCAAATAATTATCACATCAAATCTGAAGTCAGTGTTATTACTGACATTTTATAGATGAGAAAACTGAATTTCAATAAGCCACGTGTGCCTAAACTCCTGTAACCACTAAGTAACCATTAGGGTTGAAATTCCAAATCTTTTCTATTGGTTTGAAGTTTGGTTTAAGGAGGATTTACATATGAGATGAAAAACAGAACTCACTAACATGAAGATCCTTTCCAAATCTGACATGTTAATATTTCATTTTATTAAATTGAAAACAAAAACGAGCAAACTCACTTTTGTAAAAGAAATAAAGAACAGTTGAAAAGAAATTGCTAAACTTGCTGTATTGACATAATTTGCTTCTTTCAAAAAAAACTCAAGTCTAAGTCTCTACAGACAGAAATTGCTACGAAAGTAAAAAAAAAAGAAGAAAAAATAAAAAAAAGTATAAGAAAGAAAATAGAGGCTATGAAATAAAAAGGTACATTGTCCAAAAAAAAAAGAATGACAGAAGTTTTGTCAATTGCATGTGTGTAAAATTTAATCATGTGTTGATAACAGTAGCCATTCTGTTTATCTAATTTGATATACATGTACTATTTCCCAGCTTCATGAAAGACATAACTTTTTGATAAACCTTTTATTGAATAGGAGCTGCCAAAAAGTAATTGGAAATCATTTTTATTGCACACAATTAATTTGAGAATGTAAAGTTAAGTGGAAATCTTTGATACATTCATAGTACCTCTAAAGAACACCCCAGGGCAAATTTTAGTTTGAATGCAAATCCTGTTTGCTAGACCATGTAAATTAAATTAGAACAACATCTCTTTTAAGTAATAACCCTTTACATAGTTACAATAGGCTCAGAATATCATGGTCTCATAGAAAGAATATATTCATAGGGGAGAGAAATGCAAAATTCATAACGAATCAAAAATATGCAAATAAATATTTTCTCCTACAGAATAATGCAGCTAGGTCGAAGGGTTAACACCCTACTCTGTGAGAAGCCACACTTTATTAGGAAGTTGTTACTATCCTAAAATAAAGCTAGATGCAAAATGTTAAGTCTAGCATGATGGTTCAACAAAACAGTCACAGAATTATTTGCAAAATGCTGCCTAAGATTAGTACATGTATTTTTTGAACAAGTATATACTATTGACAGAAGTATGGACAGAGTTAATATACATTTTACTAACTTGGGACTCTAAATCCAAGTTTTATAAAAGACTTCCATAGACAGTATGGAAGGTTGGAGATGTACAGTTTCTTCATTTTATAATGATAACATAGTTTAATGTGTGTATACTACTCCACCAATGAGAATGTAATGGGTTAAGCTGAGATCATGTTTTGAATATTGTTTTAAGCTACTCTTCCCTGATTTAGTAGTATTAGCGGTAAGCTATTAAACAGCAGTTTCTTCCATCCAGAAGTTCTTCTCCTATTAGCAGAGTATCCATTACATACTTATAAGCTGTAAGTAACTGAAGACCTAATTCAAAGTTACTTAAACACTAAGGAAATGTACTGGATCATTTAACTCAAAGTCCAAAAGTAGGGTGGCTCAGGTGTACCATAATCCA